CCTTCCACTTAAAACACTCTCTCTTAAATCACAAACACGAACTCTGTGTGGGTACTATTGCTCCAAAGGTGTATGTGTTACAGGGAAGAGAAGAGGTTTAGAGGTTAGCAGAAATAAAATGAGCGAGGTTGGTAAATTTAGAAAAGAATGCGCATGTCAACAGGACCTTGTAGAAGGCAAACAAAACAGGGAGAGCCAGCCCACAGAAGCGGAGTTGCTTTGTGGACCCTCGTTCTAGGAGAGAGGAGGAGTCCAGTAGAGTGGGAGTTTGGGCAAAGGGTTAAGGTTTCCAAAAGCCTGATAAGAATCCTGCGGCTCCCCTGGCAACAGCTCTGCCCCCATAAGGCAGTGATAGAGTAAAGAGAAAAACTGTGCACAAGCAAAGCAGACAGTAATTGGGGTGGAGACAACATGACTTCTGGTGCACCCCACCTTGAAGGGAGCCTAAGGAGGAGTTGGGAGTTTGGGAGGGGATGTGCACCACTGATAAAGAATGAGGACAGAGGGATGAATCTGGAAGCTTTCGCTGGCTTACACTCTGGGTACAGCCCATCCTGCAGCCCTGACTCCACTTGCTAGCCTGGATGCCTGGAAGGGACTTGGAGCTGGAGAATGGGCTCCTTCATTCTCCTGATGGCCTGTGCATAGAGGCTCTCCCTGCCCTTTGCCACGGCCCAGGAAGGATGAGGATGTCCAGATGGCACAGTGAATGGAAAGAGGGTCAGCAGTGATCACTACCAGGGCCCAAACTCTTTGTTGGAGCCCCGGAGACCCCGGCCCTCAGTGATTTGGTTCCCTCCTCCAGGCTTGTCTCCAGCTCACACCACTCGCCTCATGGTGTGGCAATCCCCCAGAGCCTGACCGGGTCCCACCTGACGCTCGGGCCTCAGTCCTCCTGCCCGCTCATCCCTCAACGGGGGAGCACTGCTTTCACCAGGAATGCTGCCCTAAACCAGCTGTTTTCCAAGGGTGGTTTAGGGGTCCCTGAGGGTCCCTGAGGTCTCTTCAAAGGGCCCATGAGGTCAGAACTATACCCATAATAGTACGAATGTTTGCTTTTTATATTACTATTTTCCAGTGAGTACACAGAGCATGAAAAGTTTACTGATGTGGTTTTCATTTCCACATTGCAGCTAACCTTTAAGAAACTACCATTTGCCAAGTTTTGGTGTTATCTCAAAGAAGAATATCCACAATTACATGAAAAGGAGATTAAAATGCTTTTCCTTTTTCAGACTACGTTATTTGCGGGAGACCATATTTTCTTCATGTGGTCCAACCAAAACAACATTTCATGACACACTCAATGGACAAGGTAAGAATCCAGCAGTCTTCCGTTAAGCCAGACACGGAAGAGATTTGCAAAAATGTAGAAGAGTGCCACTCTTTTTTAACTAAGAAAAGGTCGCTTTTTATGCAAATATTTGTATGTACGTTAGGGGTTATGTTGTGGGTCTCTTATTGTTATTTTTAAATTAATTAACTCATTAAGGAATTTTTTTTTTAAATTCTCCACTTCAGCTTATGACCCAGTAAATGTCAATAGATCTTCGGGGTCCTCAATAATTTTTTACTGTAAAGGGATCCTGAGACCAAAACGTTTGAGACCCACTGCCTTACACTGAGTGAACGGCAGGCCGTGTGGAGCTGTAGGGTAGCTAATGTCATTTCTGCTGCACATCAATGCACCGAATTAACGATCTTTGTCCATGCCTGTCTCCCCCACTACACCTGTGCTTCCTGAACCCACAATGTCTGCCACAAAGCAGAACTCGATGAACGAAGGATGTGGAAGTTAAGCCCACAGGACACACATCACCCCAGACTACCGCCTGGGCTGCCTGCAAACATTCGTAAGTGGGGCACATACCTACATGCATTATTTTTTTTAATTGGCTCAAGTTGTTACTGGAACTCTGATTTGACTTTAGACATACAGTATAATTTTTTTTTAATCAAAAAATTCAAATGAGGAATTAACCTAAGAAACAATTCTGTTTCTCTGTTAAAACTTTTGGAGACATCCTTGCACGTAAGTACCTAGTGAAATAAGTCACCCAGGGTATACGTTCAATACAGACACAATGATTTGCCATAAAAGTGAAATGTGCCCGGGCAATGTTTAGAACATCGAAAACAAATAGCTGAGAAAAGCAAACGCCCATAACAGGGAAGATACAATATTCTGAGAATGAAGAGGAAATCAAAGTATTGGGGCAAGGACTCCAGTGAATGTGGCCTCTGCGTCTTTGTTCCCTGTCAAAGGAAGACCAAATGCAGATGACATTTGAGAATACAGGCCAAAGCTGTGGTTTTTGCCTTCCGGTTTCATGATTCTCACTCAACCACATTCACGGGTCCAGCAGCCCTCCAAGCATACCTGGGAGTGGCCAATGGCCACTCTCTGGAGTGAGAAGAGGCGCCCTGTTCCATCCTTCTTGTCTCTGGCACATTCTCCAGCAAAATGAGGAATAGGAGGCAATACTGGACGTGGGGCTGATTTCAGACGACGAGGGGTTTCTACTTCAAAGCCTGAGCTTGGGGTGACAGAGAGGGCAGTGAATGCTGACAGCTAGCTAGGGAAGATGCAGTGTGTGTGGGTGGGGGGAAGGAATTTGGGGCCAAGAGGAGTATGTTTTTCCAGCTAAGTGTGTGGTGGCTCATTCTGAAAGCCCCATCAGAAACCCAACTAGGGGGGTGCCTGGGTAGCTCAGTGGGTTAAAGCCTCTGCCTTTGGCTCAGGTTCTGATCTCAGGATCCTGGGATCGAGCCCCGCATCAGGATCTCTGCTTAGCGGGGAGCCTGCTTCCCCCCGTCTCTACCTGCCTCTCTGACTACTTGTGATCTCTCTTTCTCTGTCAAATAAATAAATAAAAATTAAAAAAAAAAAAAAAAGAAAAGAAAGAAACCCAACTGGGCAGTTGCGGCTGGTGCCATATGAATTAGGCATTTTAAGTTTTTTTTTTCCCTCTGTGTGTGTGTATGTGTGTATGTGTGTGTATACACATACACGTTTATCATCTTGAATTTGTTTTTAAAAAAGCCCTTCTGCGTACTAGACATGCCCCAGTCCAAGCCACATCTGCAAAGGTCTTTATGCTGATGTCACTATGGAAACACATTCTCAGAAGACTAAAGACAAGAAGGCCCAATATCATGGGGTCATCATTTAGTGAAAGATTTTAACCTCTCAAAACAGAGTGTTTGATCACTAGCCATCAGGGAGATTCAAATTAAAACCACATTGAGATACCACCTTACATCAGTTAGAATGGCCAAAATTAGCAAGACAGGAAACAACATGTGTTGGAGAGGATGTGGAGAAAGGGGAACCCTCTTACACTGTTGGTGGGAATGCAAGTTGGTGCAGCCACTTTGGAAAACAGTGTGGTGATTCCTCAAGAAATTAAAAATAGAGCTTCCCTATGACCCTGCAATTGCACTACTGGGTATTTACCCCAAAGATACAGATGTAGTGAAAAAAAGGGCCATCTGTACCCCAACGTTTATAGCAGCCATGGCCACGGTCGCCAAACTGTGGAAAGAACCAAGATGCCCTTCAACGGACGAATGGATAAGGAGGATATGGTCCATATACACTATGGAGTATTATGCCTCCATCAGAAAGGATGAATACCCAACTTTTGTAGCAACATGGATGGGACTGGAAGAGATTATGCTGAGTGAAATAAGTCAAGTAGAGAGAGTCAATTATCATATGGTTTCACTTATTTGTGGAGCATAACAAATAGCATGGAGGACAAGGGGAGATGGAAAGGAGAAGGGAGTTGAGGGAAATTGGAAGGGGAGGTGAAACCATGAGAGACAATGGACTCTGAAAAACAATCTGAGGGTTTTAAAGGGGCAGGGGGATGGGAGGTTGGGGGAACCAGGTGGTGGGTATCAGAGAGGGCACGGATTGCATGGAGCACTGGGTATGCTGCAAAAACAATGAATACTGTTACGCTGAAAAGAAATTTAAAAAATAAATTAAAAAAAAACAGAGTGTTTGGGGGTTCCCCTGGTCTCTGATTGTAATTCTGAATGCTGAGGTGAGCAGGCAGTTGGGCACTTCTCTCAATAGCCTTCGTAGGGGGTCAGATTCTGCCAGCTGGCCACCAAGCTATAAAACACAGCTTCAGAGAACTTCATAGAACAACAGCTGTCATAAAGCTATCACTCATTGCCTCCCTAGAGTTTACATTTAACTTATTTTCTCCTCACAAAAATATTCCAAGGTCAGCATTAACATTCCCATTTTTATGGATGGGGAAACTGACCTCAGAGGGACTACACCACCTAAGTATACACACGTAGTAAGTACCAGATCTATGCCAAAACCCATTCTCTTTCCACGGGCCAACCTTCCTATTACCTCCACACTTGCGCTTGCCAGAGCCTGTACTTACAACCAGCTCCGTTTATCCACACTCTGTATGTTTTTAGGATCTCTCCTTTCTCTTGCAGAAAGAGAAAAATTCACCTGAAGAAAACATGTCCATAAGAGAACCCCGATATTTTCTACTCCAAATATCTTGATTCCATTCACAGTGTCCCCACCTCTCTTCTGAGGCTGCTCCCACCTTCCATGAACCCACCTACTCGTTTTCCCACGCTACCATGCAGGGAAGCATTATTAACACGGATTAGCTGGACAAATCCAATTAAAAATTCTCCTAACACCTTTGTTCAGAGAAGTACCACCAGGACCTTTTCAAATCTTTTCCTTGACCTTTTCAGATCTTTTCCTTGCATACCGGAGAAAAGTCATGAGCCTCAGATTAAATGGAAGGGTCTGAAATAGAAGGGTTTCAATTTCATTTTGAGAACCCCATGCACTCATTGCCGATGAGATCTACTCCCTCTGCCACCCCACCCCATCCCCCAAAACCCAGGGATAAGAGAGCTTCCCTACTGACATGTGTCCATCCCCTGGTCTGAAGGTCCACCCTTAAGCACCTCTTCCTATTTGCTTCAGAGGCAGAGCCCCGATCACTCACCCAGGAGGGCCGTCTGGGGGTGGGTCCGAGCGTGTCTCCCTCTGGAGATGGACCTTGAGGGGGGCCGCTCCCTGGCCTCAGCGGGGAGGAGAAGAAAGGTCTGTCCGAGCACCAACAGAAAGCAGCCCACCAGCATCTTTTCCATCTTCGAGAAGAGGAGGGGAAGCCTGTGACAGACACAAGAGGAGAAGGGAGCAGGGTGAGATTTCCAGGTCTCCTTGAACTCTAGGCACTGCAGACCCGCTGTGCCACCTTTTCAGTATCAAACGTGCCCCTTGTCCTTAAAATGTCATTTATGTGTTTAATCCTTAAGAACCCAAGGAACTTCCATTGGGAGGTTCCTGAATACTCTTGAGCAGGGCAAGCATATGAAAATTTTTCATCACTTTGTTCTCTCTGAGACTGAATGGAAAACTTGACAGGGAAAAAAAAAACTAACCTCAGGTTTCTCTTTAGTTATTTATTATCAATTGTTTATAATCATATTCCATATCTTGGATTTGAAAAAGGAAAAAGTCTATCAGAAGATTCCAAGTACCATTACTCCTTCAGTCTGATAATAGTGTATCCTACAAATTAATATATATAAATTCCCAAGGCATTCAGGTCCGGCGGACACAAGGTAGCATCCCATAGCGAGCCTCCCAGCCTCCCTGCCTCCCCCACACGTCGATGAAGAGGCAGCATGGTATAGTAGGCAAGGGCCTGGACTCCGGCACCAAACCTCCTGGCTTTGAATCCCAACTCTGACACTCACCAACTGTTTAAGACCCTGGCCAAGCTACTTAACCTCCCGAGTCTTGTGGGAATATGGGATACTATTAGTTAATTGAGTGAGTTAATACATGTAACTGAAGCATTTAGCGTAGTGCCCGGCACACATGGGGAGGTGGGGACAAGCAAATGAGCAAAGGAGCTGGGGGACCAGAAAATAGGATCAAACCCAGTGTTGAGCAGGAAGCTCTCGGGTGCATAAAGAACTCTAACTCTGAGTTGAGCTCCAGGTATCCCCAGGAGCAAGGGGCTTAGAACCAGAAGAACCCTGTCTACCAGGACAGCACTGCCTTTACCCATTTTCTGTATTGGCATAGCCGGTATAGAGGATCAGAAGGATTCTAAGCAGGGAAGTGACAGGGTCAGAACCAGGTCTTCCCAGGATAGCCAGTCTCAACGTTTCACATGGGATGAGAAAGGAACTTGGCCACATGGTGAGTGACATCAAGACTATTCTGTCTGGGGGCACTTGGGTGGCTCAATAAGTTAAGTATCTTGACTCTCGATTTTGGCTCAGGTCATGATCTCAGCATCGTAAGACCGAGCCCCATGTCTCGAGCTTGAGATTCTCTCTCTCCCTCTGCCCCTGCCCCCCATCCACTAGCCACCCCCACCCCCTGCTTGCACTCTTTCTCTCTCTCTCAGAAAAATAAATAAATCCTTAAAAAAAAAAAAAAAGAAAAAAAAAGACTGTCCTGACTGGCAAAACCTCATGGAGAAGGCAATGTCCTGAGACTAGGTTTAAATTTCCCACTTCTACGCATATAACGAGTGTCATTGCAATTTATTAATTTACATAACTTAGGTGGGGAGGAGGGAAGACTTAAGGTGGAACAACATTTAAGTAACCTCACCCGCATATAAAATCTTTACTGAGTTCTTATCTCGTGCTTGGCAATTGCACCCAAATGACTTCATTTTATCCTCATGCCTATCTTGCAGAAATCAGAATGATTACCTCTGCTTTTTAGAGATGAGGAAACGGAGGCTCAGAGCAGCTCACTTGATCAAGGTCAAACAGCTAAAGTAGCAGAGCAGGGATTCAAACCTAGGGTAAGGAGGTCAATTTACCAAGTCAGTGATTAGCAGAAAACCCAATGAGCTACTACTGGTAAAATCCCCAGAATACAATTCACGAAAGGGCATGGCTGTTTCGCTGTCAGAGGCAGGAACAAGGCAGGGCCAGGGCAAAGACCATTTCCCAAAACTTAAAAAAGAAAAAACCACCTGCAAGGAGCCTGCTTCTCCCTCTCCCACTCCCCCTGCTTGTGCTCTCTCTCACTCTCTTTCTCGCTCTCTCAAATAAATACAAAAAATCTTTAAGAAAAAATAAAAATAGCAAGTGTTTGTACAGCCCTTCTATGTGCCAGGCACTGGGCCAAATGCTTAATTTAAGTGTATTAAGTCATTTAATTCTAGCAGTGACTCAGAGAAGGTTGGTGATTTACCTAAGGTTATGCAGCTGATGAAGCCGTAAGGCTTGGGGGCATACAGGCTCATTCCTGAGAACTACAGCCCCCAGCTTTTTAAACAGATTAAATTCTTCACTAATTAGATTGGCCCCTTTTCATAGCTTTAACTGTGAGATTCCTTCTGAGAAAAGGAACACTTAGAAGATTGTGCCTCTTTCTCTAGTCTTAAACCTACTATTTACTTTCCAGCTTCCTGGTTATTTATCACATTTTATATGACTTTATAAGTGTGTTATGTCATTTATATGTGATTTATTATTTTACTGCTTTCTCCCTCCTCCAAACTGAGAAAATACCAAAGCCCCCTTTATTTATTTTCAAACGTATACAACATGTTCTCTAGGCCCACTTCCAACCTGACATATTTGCATTTAAATCCAAACATTTGGAACATGATGTGGTGGGTGATTAGCATTTTCCAAAAACAATTTCATGTGGTTGGGGTTCCTGCTGATTTCAAGAGGTATTTGTATTTTCAAATCACCATCACTAACCAGAAGGCACTAAGGATAGGGGAAGGGTAGGGAATGAAAAATAAACAGAGCTTGGGGCCCCTGGCTGGCTCAGTCACTAGAGCATGAGACCCTTGATCTCGGAGTGGTGAGTTCAAGCCCCATGTTGGGCATGGAACTTATTTAGAAAAAGAAAACACAGAACTAAGCACTTCTAGGTGTCGAACACTGAACAGATTACTCTTATCTTCTCTGTGCCTCAGTCTCCTAATCTTTAAAGTGGGAATAAGAAATACACCTGGTTGTTGTAGGGATTAAATCAGTCCATATATATAAAGCACATAGAATAGTGAATGGCACATAGTAAGTGCTCAGTAAGCTACTTGTTGTTCTTATCATTATACAATCAAACCAATTAATATAAAGTACACAATGGTCATTTTGTCATATTAAGCCATTTAACACACATGAAATTAACATTTATGCTTATTTATTTATGACCAGCATAATAGAACGATGACATACAAATACATAACTTAAAAATAACACTAGCATCTGAAAGTATTTAAAACTTTTCTTTTTCAAACTGCAGTGGCACAGCCAGTCACAAGCTGGTCAAAAAGATTTGCCCAACATTTCTGATCTGTTATTTATATCCGACTGTATAAACTCTTGTAAACCCAATAAGAAGAAGACAAAAAACCCATCTGAAAATATGTGAAATATTCAGATGGTCACACCAGCACAGGTGACCAACTGTCCTGGTTTACCCAGAACCGTCCATGTTTTTGCACCAGAAGTCCTGCATCCTGATAAACTCCTCGGTCCTGGCAAGACTGAGATGTTTCCTCTTGCTACCAGCAACCTCACTCCTCGGAATTTACCCAAAAGATACAAAAACTCCTCCACACAAAGACTTATACTCAGATGGTCCTAGAAGCTTTATTTATAAAAACTAAAAACAGGATACCACCCAAACGTCCACGTGTTGATGAGCGGATTAATTAACTGCGGTACCTCCATACAATGGAATGCTACTCGGCAACTAATGGTTGAATCTTAAAAGAATTACACTGAGTGCAAGCAGCCAGACACAACAGATCACATACGAATGAGTCTGTCTATGGGACATTCAATAAAAAGCAACACTACAGGACAGAAAGCAGATCCGTGGTTCCAGGGTCCTAGGGGTTGGAAGAGAAGATCAGCTACAAAGGGACATTAGGGAAATTGGGGGGTAGGGGTGGAAATTAAGTGTTTATATCATGATTATGGTGGAGGATACATAGATCTATACATCTGTCAGAACTCCTCAAACTGTCCCCTAAAAATGATGAAATTTATTGGTATGTAAGTTATACTTCAAAATGCTGTTTAAAAGAAACTAAAGGGATAGGGGAAAGAATATTGTACACACGCCCACATAAAACCAATACGACAATATTAATACAGGCAAGATAGACCTTTTTAAAAAATCAAGTGACGGGGCGCCTGGGTGGCTCAGTGGGTTAAGCCTCTGTCTTCGGCTCAGGTCATGATCTCAGGGTCCTGGGATCGAGCCCCGCATCGGGCTCTCTGCTCAGCAGGGAGCCTGCTTCCTCCTCTCTCTCTGCCTGCCTCTCTGCCTACTTGTGATCTCTGTCAAATAAATAAATAAAATCTTTTTAAAAAAAATGAAGTGACAGTGAAACAAGAAAAAAGAAGTCAGGGCATGGAACCCTTATTCATAATGTTGCTCAGCTGAGCACTTAGAGCTGAGAGCATTTGAAGGACGGGCACCAGTTCTAGCTGGGAAATGGGCTGATGCTTGAGAAACGGGTCCTCTCATGTATGGGCATAGGAGGATGGTTGCGCTGGGAAACAGAGGTTAATTCAATCTGAACAGATTCCATGAAGCATTTAGGGGCACAGAAAGAATATCTTTTAAAAAATACAACAGCTTTGAGTTTTGTTTTAACAGTGTTTCTCCTCTCCATGGGACAATGAGTCTTTTCATTAAGCTTTAACAAGGGGGTGGGGGAAAAGGGAGAGGAGACCGCTCTGACCCTCTTAGCCTTGGGTTCTTCTAAGTGTCCCCATTCCAAATAAACTGTCCGGCGAGTGGAATCGCAGCAGAGCCATCAGGATGTGCTGTGGGCCTTGAGAGGAGAGGCCCGGCCTGTTAGAACACCCTGCGGGATCTCAGTGCAATGACTTCTCTCTCTGGGTTTTAGTCAGCTGTAAAACGAGAGGCGTGGTGTGAGAGCCCTGTTTCTCAAGCCAAACCAGGCCACAGGCCAGCACAATCCTGCGATCCTAAAGAAGGTCGGGCATGACTTTCTACAAGGTGGTAAACTCTGTCTGGACAGGAAGAGAAAGGGGGGTAAGCCGTTACTATTTTTTAAGTGCCTACTATGTGCTGGGTAGTGACCTTGGGCATTCTGGGTATTATCATCTCACTGGATCCCTACAATCCTTCTGCGAAGTGGACGAGTTCCCAGTTTTATGCTACTCTCCAAGACACTCTCCCAGCCCTGAGAGCTAGCTAAGGGACAAAGCCAACTTTCTATCCCTGCCATCTCCCCAGCCGGAGGAACTCAGATTCTTGTCATAGCCGGTGCCTCCCTCCATGCTGTCCCCTTGGCCTGGGAGCCCTACGTTAACCAAAACTGCTTTCATTCCTCAAGGCTCAGCTCATTGTGTTACCCACTCCCTAAAATGTTCTCCAATTTTCCGAAGAAGGATTGATGTCTCTGTGAGACCCGAACAATGGGTCGGTTGTCCGCCCTAGCCCTCAGTTTCTTTTTCTTGCTACAAGATCTGTCTCCCTGCCTTGTCTGTGAGCTGACCGTACCTGGTCATTGCTGAATCACCCACATGCTGGGGGCCGAATTTAATAAATAAGTCTTTAGAAAATAGACAAATGTTGAACAAACACACTTATTGACCAGCAAAAGATCAATAAATATTGAATCAAACAGGTCCAATTCTGCAACTGACGACTGCCAAAGTCTCAGCTCATGTCTTTCTCTACATAGGATATTTGCCTAAATACAGGCGACCCCAATGGCTATCTCCTGTGACAGGAGGACCCCCTCCCTCAAATTTCTTGGCCAAGTTAAATACATAATTTTAAAAGGATATAGACGAAATATCAGCTATCGAGTCACAATAACTAATGCATCAACGTAGTCACAAATGCCTATTCAAAATGCTTTAAATTACAAAATAATATATCACTTTAGAAATAAGGCTTTTCTCCTTAAAAACGTTCCATAAAACAATGTTTGCAAATGCTTGCCTTTCGAACATCACTCTTTTCTCAACAGTGAAGATACGTTTTGAGTCTTCCAACCTCTCCACCTGTGTCTAAGTTGTCTGAGCTACAGAACTTTCCAGACCCGTATATGATGCTGTCCTTGGACAATTTATCTCGGGCCAGCAGCTGTCACTTACCCACGTAATATGAAGACATACACTGTATCTCCGCCACTTGCTCCCTCATGGTGTTCTTCTTTAAAGGATTGTATCCAGCATCACCCAATCCTTGCAAGTGGGAAATTGTGCCCTCAAGCATAATTACAAAATCTGCATCGATTTGTTTATTTTTGTGTCGATTTGTTTATTGTTTTGGTGTGTGTCTAGATGTACACAAAGCTAGCACATTGACTGAGAACATTTTGAACTAGTGTGTCTTCCACAAACAGCACTTTGTTTAAAATATTTGCTAGATTCCCTGTACTTTGAGAGAGTTTGCAAGGACTCAAAGGGCAATTTCCTCTTTCCTAAGGAGAAATTTTGGCGGGGGGTGGGGGGGGCCCCTCCGGGGGGGCCCTCCCCTCATATTTTGGTATATATGGTCATTCCTTCCATATCTTTTTTTCCCTTCCATGCACTTAAGCACCAAGTCCTGCCAATTTTTTTTTTCCCTCAGTGATGTCTTCTCACTCATGTCTTCTTCCCTTTCCATCCATACCGAAGTCACAGCCCTAGACCTTATTCCCATCAGAGAGACCACTGGTGGTTATCCCCCAATATCTTCCTACCTCTCCTTCTCTGGTAATACCCCCCACTTTCGGGCTGGATGTGTGATGGGCTGGAGTAAAGACCATGGTT